TCTCTCTCTCTCTCTCTCTCTCTCTCTCTCTCTCTCTCTTCGCGTGTGTATGAATTCTTAAAAATGCACAACGCTGGACCACAAACAGCGCGCGCGAAGCGCGCGTTCTGTCATGTCTAGTATTGATTAAATTGACGATTGATTCTGTTCAATCGAGAAAATGTTTCGAAACAAAAATCGTTGTTACTTAAAATTCTAATTATTAAGATTAGTGATTTTACTTCAATAGTTGGTGTATGCAAATGTATATTTCTAAATTGCAAATCTTCATTTACTACGAATCGAAAAGAGAAGTGAAGCACACCGCGCTTCGAAAAAACCAATCGGCATCGCGGAGAAGGGGCCATAACTGTTCGATATTAACGACAATCGCGCTGGTAACATCTCTTTTTTAGAAAGGGAATGTAAAATAGGTTCATAGGATTATTGTTTGAGGCGCTGTTGCCACATCTCTTACACTACACTCATGTCTACTATAATTTTTCCCATTTTTCAGTTTTAACTGTGTATATTGTTGAAACGGAACGGTCAATAATTTTGATTTTTTCCAGTTATTCATTTTATGTTACTTTATAACATATTTGTTTCTCATACGAATCTCACTCACCGTTAAGTTTAAAAAAAAGTGCCGTCATTTGCGTTTGCAAACGAAAATATTAATATTTTAACACATAATAATATGTGTAAATAATATTTCACGTGTAATAATATTACAACGAATTATGTTATTACGTGTAATAATATTTTTAACGTGTTTTACGCGTAATATTTCGTGTAACATGTCAAACTTTTTTTGTTTTAGAACTTTGAAACAATTTTAATTTAATTAGTCTTGTTTTGCACGTGTTAATGTAAAGAATAAATTGCAAAAATTTGAAACAATTCTCACATAAATAATCTTACAAAATAACTACCTTAAATAAACTCATCGAGAAGTAAGTACTTTATGTGCATGTTTTGATATTCTTTTATGTAAAAGTTTCTTTTAACTTACCAATCAGAATGTTTCTACGTGCTTCAAATGCGCCGATTATAGAACATTCTACATGTACGTTATTGTGTGGATCGAACTCTCTCTCTCTTTTTTTTTTCTTCGAAATCACACCGGTTTCACTGGCTCGCAAGAAATAAAAGTTTTTCATAAAGTTTTATTAAGAAAAAGTCAATTCTAAACTTGTCAAAGAAGGTGAGATATTTTGTGAGCGCACGTAATCGATAGCGATCGATATTTCCGCGCTGCAAACTCGCCGTGGACTTAAATATGTATTTACATCCAACTAAAAATTGCAGTCGATATCGGTGGACTCAATCTCGCTCTTTACGTCGAGATTCGCAGTAACATTAAAATGCAACGAATGCAAACATTCACGGTAGAAGCTGAGCCGGGAGTGACGGGTGAAATAATATTCATGAAAATATTTTTGTCCGCGTAACCTGCCGGATCGTGATTCTCAAATCCAAATAATACGTATCCAGGAGTATAGAAATGTGAGTTTGGCATGCGATCTGACGATAATAAAAATAGAGACAAGCCCTCATAAAAGAGCTTTACACACGGCTCCAAAAATTCTAGATAGATGCACAATTCTAAATCTCTCGAAAATGTGCGTCGCGAATATTTGTCACATAATATTATAAAATACCTTAGAAGCCGAAATCTTCTATTATGAATTTTTTGCGCGGAAAGTCTCGTATTGATGAAAACTAAGGAGACTGCTGTCTCTTGAATAAGAGCATCTAGTCGCTTTCAAGATAATTATAAATAAATTTTGGTCGACCTTAACTGGCACGTGTTTAACAAATTCGAAAAATACACCCCGCAACGTTTTGACCTTCGGTTTTGGTCTTTTCAAGCTATTTCTAAAATGTACTGTATGTTAAATTAACAGAAAAATTTATGTGGACCGTTTGGGACATGTGGCATCTGTTAAAAACACAAATT